AATAACTGTTCTCTCAAAATTTTAATGGGTACAAGTCCTTGCAGGACTGTATGGGGGGGTGGGTATATGTATGTCTGTGAGCTCACATTCTAAGGGTATATTTGGGTGTGCTGGTCTCTTGGCAAGGTTTGGGGATAGGTACTAGCTTGATAACTGAGTAGATGCAATGTCATCCCATCAATTTCGGACATCCCATTTCTCCCCAAACAATTCCAAGGGAAGAATTCCTTTTTTTTTTTTTTTGAGACGGGAGTCTTGCTCTGTCATCCAGACCTGAGTGCAGTGGCACGATCTCGGCTCACTGCAACCTCCGCCTCCTGGCTTCAAGCAATTCTCCAGCTTCAGCCTCCCGAGTAGCTGGGATTACAGGCATGCATCACCACGCCTGGCTAATTTTTTTGTATTTTTAATAGAAACAGGGTTTCACAATGTTGGCCAGGCTGGCCTCAAACTCCTTGTGATCCGCCTGCCTCAGTCTCCCAAAGTGCTGGGATTACAGGCGTGAGCCACCATGCCTGGCCTGGAAAAATTTCAGCTCACACTGCCTAGGGTCACACGATATGGTATGTACCATACAGTACAAGGGGAAAGAGGCAGGAAGAGTTCCAAAATGGTAGAAATGCCTCATTCATTCAAATCAATTTGATACAATTTATTGTGCATCAAGATCCTATAAAATATGATCCCTGGTTACCTTTCTGGCCTCTTTCCCTATTCTGCCTCCTTTTTCTAACTGTGCTCCAGCCACACGAGCCTCCTTGCTCTTCTTTGAACACATCAAAGTCTTTGCTCTTGCCCTATACCTAGAACGCCTTTCCCAACTACTCACACAGCTCTCTCGCTCACTTCATTCACATGTCTACTCAGTCAAATGTTACCTCCTCAGAGAGGTCTTCCTTGATCAACTAAAATAGTGCACCCACCCTCCCTCTTCCCTGACTCTCTATCTACTTACCCTGCTTTTTCTTCATAGCATTTATTATTACTTGACATTATTTATATGTGTGTGTACATATGTGTGTATACATACCCCTCCACACACAAATACACATACATATGCAATGAGGGAAGGGATTTTACCTCTTGTTCATTGCTTTACCCCAGCACACAGCAGGAGTTCCAGGAATATTTGTTGCATAGTGGATCAATGAATCTTTCATATGTTTGGGACTGAGATAAGTACTGGAAATATAAAGATGAATAAGTCATGCCCCTTGACTCAAAGGAGCTAACAAACTGATGGAGGAGATGAACACACCACAAGAAGAGAAAGCACCACGGCTTCAGGTATTTCCCCCACAGAGTGTCCTCTGGAGAGTGAAAAAACAAGTTATTTGCATACTTGTAAACCTGAAGTGTTAACTGCTATAGCACTGTTATTGATTTATTTATTTTTAATTTAATTTATTTATTCAGAGACAAAATATTACTCTGTCACCCAGGCTGGAGTACAGTGGCATAATCACAGCTCACTGCAGCCTCCAAATCCTGGGCTCAAGAGAGTCTCCAGCCTCAGCCTCCTAAGTAGCTAGGACTACAGGCACATGCTACCACATCTGGCTAATTAAAAAAAATTTTTTTTAGAGATGAGGTCTCGCTATATTGTCCAAGCTAATCTCAAACTCCTGGCCTCAAGTAATCCTCCCTCCTTGGCCTCCTAAAGTGCTGAGATTACAGGTGTGAGCCACTGAGCACAGCCCAGAACTGTAATATTAATAAAAAGTTATAAAAAGACAAATTGCTGGTCATAAGAGACAGACCTAGTTTCAAATTCAGATATTGTCATTTGTTAACAGGGCAATTACTTAACCTTTATAGTTTGTTTCCTAATACATAACATGGAAATGATCCTGGTGCTTCCGAGTTGTTATAAGATAATGCATATAAAGCACTTTTCATACTGCCTGGAACACAGTATGTACTCAAACGTTAGCTATTAATATTACTAACAGTTGACTTAAATGATCCCCTTGGGGCCAATGCCCAATCAATAGCTAAATCTTACCAATTCTATCACCAAGGAAACCTCTCCTATCGTTTCCTTTCTCTTCATGTTCACAGCCCTAACTGGTATCCTCTGATTCCAGTCTCTCTCCCTTTGAATTCAACTCACACTTTCCTAAAGAATTAAATCCAAGCCCCTTAGCTTAGTATTTAACGTCCTTCATGTTTGGGCCCCAATTTACCTTTCAATCCTTTTTTTCCCACTACTTTCTGGAATCCACCACTCTAGCCAAATTAAATTACTCTTCTAGATATACCCTATGCTTCCCCACTATGATGCCTGTTCATTTTATTCCCTCCTGGAATGCTCTTCTCTTTACCTTCAAAGGTCCAAATCTTTCCATCCTCTTTCCAGACATAACTCAAATGCCATAATGCCTTCTCAATTAAAAACAATCTCTCTCTCCCCAGAATACCTTCATGTTATTTATATGTCTTTTATAGCACCAATCCCTTTTAACTTTATATTTTGCTTATGTACTCTGCAGGTTCTCTGTTGAAAGATCCATGCCAGTTCTTACACTTACTACATACTCAAATAAATGTATGTTGAAGGCTAGGCATGGTGGCTCATATGTGTAATCCTGGGCTATTGGGAGGCCAAGGTGGGTGGATCACTTGAGAACAGGAGTTCAGGAACAGCCTGGACAACATGGTGAAACTCCATCTCTACAAAAAATATAAAAATTAGCCAGGCATGGGCCAGGTGCAGTGGCTCATGCCTGTATTCCCAGCACTTTGGGAGGCCAAGGCAGGCGAATCACGAGGTCAGGAGATGGAGACCATCCTGGCTAATACGGTGAAACCT